TTGTCGTACTGCCATGCCGGAGGATTTGGGGGAGTTCCTCCACGGAACTTCACGCCCGGCTGGCCCCTTCAAGCTATTCCAGCTTGAAGAGGTAGACAGGCGTGAAGGCTTCAACTCATCCTCAGGATCTGGAAGTTGTTCATCCCATAGGTCTAGCTCCAGGTGGGTCAGGATTGGCAGAAGGCCGTGCAGCTTTAGGCTGTGGGCGATCTGGCCGTCGGCGACGGCGTCGAGGTGGTCGGTTCAAAGGCTGGTCAGGGTCCACGATTGGATCAATCGTAGGAGCCTCACTCTTGCCTCGTTCGCTCATCCCACTCTCGGAAGTCGGATCAGGGGGTCCATGGCCGGCTCGAACTCCTGCAGCAGGCCGTTGACGGGCGCGTCGAGGCGGCTGGGGTTCAGCTACTGGCCGTGGTGGACCGTGAGGATGTAGTGGTTGCTGCGCTCGGTGTCCTCGAGGATCAGGATGGGGAAACCCTTGAGGGGTAAAGCTCCATACTCCGCCAGATACCTCACGAACGTAGGGCTCCGTAGGCGAGTAGAACTCCGCATAGCCGCACACGTTACATGTACGGTTGCCTTCCCAATCAAACTGGTAATCCGAGGCATCACACGACACGCATCGGAGGTCATCATCCCTCGCAAGATCATGAAGGTCAGGTCCAGGTGCTGGTGCCCACGAAGGCGTAGGCGTCGCACCGAACATCCTCTGCTGCGTCGGGACGGTCTGGCTTTGACTGCATGGCGTGCCGGCTTCCTGGGATGGAGCAAAGAGACTGCTCACATGTGGCCAGGGCGGCGTGCCCATATCAAAGCCAGAAGAACCCATGCCAGTGGGATCATGTCCATCAGCACCAGGGCGAGGTCCAGGATCGACCATGGCTCGGGCCCTCCAAGGAGGGCTCCGCTACCAACTTAGCGGACCGCGTGCACTCTTTGCGGCCAGCCACTGGTGCGGATCTGTGCGGGCACGCACAAAGAGAAATCTTGGGCCCAGCGCGCGCTGCGAGCGGGCCAGGCATGTGAAAAAGCTCATGGTGAGCCACATGCGGATCTGCAATGAACCTGCAAGGGCCTTCAAAGCCTTCGTGCAAACATTCTCAACACATACATTACATACATACATTACATACATACATACGTACATACATACATTACATACATTACATACATACATACATACATACATACATACATTACATTACATTACATTACATTACATTACATACATACATACATACATTACATACATACATACGTTACAGTACATTACATTACATTACATCACATCACATTACATTACATTACATTACATACATACATTAATTACATACATACATACATACATTACATTACATTACATTACATTACATTACATTACATTACATACATACATACATACGTTACATACCATACATACATACATACATACATTACATTACATTACATTACATTACATTACATTACATCACATTACATTACATTACATACATACATACATACATTACATTCATACATACATACATTACATTACATTACATTACATTACATTACATTACATTACATTACATTACATTACATTACATACATACATACATACATACATACATACATACATACATACATACATACATACATACATACATACATACATACATACATACATACATACATACATACATACATACATACATACATACATACATACATACATACATACATACATACATACATACATACATACATACATACATACATACATACATACATACATACATACATACATACATACATACATACATACATACATACATACATACATACATACATACATACATACATACATACATACATACATACATACATACATACATACATACATACATACATACATACATACATACATACATACATACATACATACATACATACATACATACATACATACATACATACATACATACATACATACATACATACATACATACATACATACATACATACATACATACATACATACATACATTACATACATACATACATACACATACATACATACATACATACATACATACATACATACATACATACATACATACATACATACATACATACATACATACATACATACATACATACATACATACATACATACATACATACATACATACACATACATACATACATACATACATACATACATACATACATACATACATACATACATACATACATACATACATACATACATACATACATACATACATACATACATACATACATACATACATACATTACATTACATACATTACATTACATTACATTACATTACATTACATTACATTACATTACATTACATACATTACATTACATTACATTACATACATACATACATACATACATACATACATACATACATACATTACATACATACATACATACATACATACATACATACATACATACATACATACATACATACATACATACATACATACATACATACATACATACATACATACATACATACATACATACATTACATACATACATACATACATACATACATACATACATACATACATACATACATACATTACATGCATACATACATACATTACATTACATTACATTACATTACATTACATACATACATACATAAATACATACACATACACACAACTGCTTTTCAAGCCGGGGGTACAAGCATAAGGCCATGTACATTGCATAGACATACCCACGCGCACACACACACACACACACACATATATATATATATACATATATATATATATTGATGTGTATTGTCTTGCAAGGAATACCCACGGTGCATTGGGGCAAACAATTCGGGGCACATTCTTACTCCCTTTGTCTTTCAGGTGGAACAAGGCAAGCCATGGCAATCCCCGAAAGCCCATAATAAAGCCATGGCACCAAGCTGTTGGGTCTGCGCGCCCGTTTTCAACCCTGCCACAAACATGGATGTGTACAAACTTCCCTAGACGAGGCCCGTTTGGAGGGTAGTTCTAGGCCCTGCACATTTTTGCGGACAGAATGTTGACTGAAACAGGAGCATCCTCCGGAACTTCGGTCCGAAACATGGGCTTGACGTTTGACCGGATTAGAAGTAGTGAAGGAAACCTACAAATGGCTACCTGGACCCTCAAAACTCCACTAAAAATGTGCTATTGCCGAAAATTATGGGGTGCGTTCCGTTTTTCATCGGTAGTTTGAGGGTTCAGGGAGCGCCAAGTGCAAACGCAAATCAAAGCGACAGCTTTGCAACTTCGAAACGCAAGGGACCGGAACTTATCATGGCGTCGGGTGCAAAATCGCACCTCTGATTAGCAAAAGATGGGGAAAGGCCAGCCAGATCACAAGGCATGATGATGACTTGGGCAATGGAACGAGGGTCAAGCTCCGTACAGGAAGCAACCCATCTCTGCGTCGCCAACATGGCTGTGGGCCTAAAACAGGAACCCAAGATGAAACCCTCATGGCACGCCCAGCTGTGGTTTTCGGTAAAAAAAAGCGCCGCCAACTGCCGCCGCAGCCGCGTAGAGCTGGTTCACGCGCTTCTCCAGGGCGCCGGGGAATTTCTTTCTGCCGCCGTGCTCCTTCACGTCCATGACCTGCAACTGCCATGGGTGACGGGTCCACACTGTGGATGGTTTCGCACCATATTTGAATCCATGGTTCCCGTCCATTGTTCGTCGGTATTTACAGGGGAATTGTTCCAGGGTTTCTTAGGTGGTGCAGGATTTCGTCCATCCACAGTATGCTCGGGCTGGCCGATGTTGACGTGGCTGCCCGTTTTCAGATCCCTGCTAAAAAGTGAACAACTTTTAGTGGGGACAATCATAACCCAACCACTAAACACTAAAAAGCCAAAAAGCTAAGGAACCGGATGGGCTGGGAGCCACCAAGTTGAGCGAGTTTCTCCCTTGCAGTGGCTGGGTCTTTGCCAACAACCATGGAGTGGACCAGCTTAATACAGAGGCCCAGAATGGGATCAGCCGGCTCACATAGTCGTCCATATGTATCTATGTAAGTATATAAATATATTTATAATGTGTATATACGGTTTGGCTGCGTTTGGCCATGATTCTGTAGGGAACAACATCAACAGTGGTTGGTGGACATGAATCCCCACTTAAATGACGTCCACCACTTCGCGTCACTTGAAAGTCAGCCCATGCAGCCCATAAATGTGGTGCGAGAGAACGCGGTGGGTTTATCTTTTTTAACGAAAGCCCTGTTTGGTTGGTTTCAAAGGTCCAACAATCATGGAAGCTGACAGGACGGCTTTGAATATTATTTTCCTTTTGGGAAAGCTTTCTCCACTTGCATTGTTGGAAAACAGGGAAACCACCGCTTTGGGGGATCCCCCCCAATTTATCTAGACCAGGCTATACCAGGCTCACACCCCGGAAAATTATAAATTTACCCAAAACAAGAAGGACACCCTAAAAAGACAAGAAATTAAAAGGCCACCGAGTCGCTCGCAGCTACACATAGTGGGTAACGAGCTATTTTCTTTTGGGTCTTTAAGGGGTGGCTCCCTGTGTTGCCTACCATGCTGGCAAATGGATCCATTGGGTCAGCGATCCTCTAGGAGTTGATTATTTTTTCCATTCTTTTCAACCATCGCTCTTTGCCAACACCAGCCATTTTCTCTGGGTTTCCCGCGGTAGAAAGAATGATCCCTGGAAGAATGGAAGGTACTTCCAGAGATGCGTCTGGCAATGAAATTTCTCAAAGGATCCCAACCCCCCCCCCCTCAAATTGCAAATTCTCAGTTTAGGGTTTAGAGCACAGCGTGTGCTTTTCACACGCATTTGGTGCCAGCTTTTGCTGGAAGCACCTAGCTGTGCTTTGAGTAGTTTGTTCTTGTTACACTCCTTACCGAGCCTTATTGGGCCGTAAGGGGGGTTGCTTTGCTTGACATCCGGATTTGGGACTGACTTTTCTTGCTCACAAAAACGATCGCCACTGTTTGCTCACTTGCCCAACGGAGCCGAGAATAAAGGATGATCACCTGTTGGGGCCCCGACTAAATTGCCAGAACAAAAAAGCCCGCAAAATGGAAATGGGCATATAAAACACGGGAAAGTTTCAAAAGCAATGGAAATGGGTACAAGACACGGGATTAAACAAAAATATCCATGCCATATGGAAATGGGCATAAAACACCGGAATTTTGATTTTCTCTTTTGAAAAAAACGAAGAAGCCAAAAAACGGTAAACCTCGGAACATCGGAATGGCCGAAAGCTCCCCTCCCCGCCGCCTGCCGCCTGGCCAAAACCCGTCCGCGCGTCCGCCCCCAGGCCTCGCCGAAGTTCAAGCCCACCGCCGCGCGCTGCGCGCTGCGGGACTCCCCCACGCCCGCCTTGGCATCCTCCGGGGGCGGCACCAGCCTTCGCCGCACGCGCCCGTGGGGATGGCCCGAAGGGAGGAGAAACCGGGGAGAGCTTATTCCAAAGTCGAAGCTGAAATAACTTGTGCTTGGAATCACATATATTTCAAGACAAGCTTGTTTTTGCTGTGGAAGTATTTTTGCTGTAGCTGGTTTTTTGATTCAGAGCCATGGCAAGGGCAAGGGAAGCCAACGCAAATAGTGACTTGTAGCCCCTCTCTCTCTCTCTCTCTCTCTCTCTCTCTCTCTCTCTCTCTCTCTCTCTCTCTCTTTGAGTCAGTATTAGGGGAACCTTGGGCATGTTCAGATAAGTTCGTTTGGAGGCAGTTATGGCTATGCCACTAACGAAGCTTGCAAAGAAGTATTCCCTGGCTATTTCTCCAGTTATGTCAGTGGCCCATGACCTGACCTGCAAAATCGCGCCCTTGCCAACCCATGAGCAAAAGACGGTCCATTTGGGAAGGGCGGGTTTTCTGCACCCAGCCTTTTGTTGGCGTGCAACATGATGTCCCAATCAAGTTCATGACTCTTGGCCCGGCCAACCTGCTCCAAGTCGGATTTATACAAACCTCACTCCTGAGCGGATTGGCCAGAAAAAGTCCAAATTTGGCTTTACCGCTACAATGGTCCAAGCCTAAAAAGTGCATGTTTGCTGGAGGCAAGCCCGAAGGCACTGCACAGCCACACAAGGCTTCAGGAAGGCATATGAACCTTTGTTAACTAGGTCACGTAGAGAGTACCCAGCTAGCTCACCCATAGACTCATCCGGAGTTCCCTTACGGATTTCTACTTTCTGGCAATAAGGAACCCTGACTTCAAGCACACTTGTCCTCTCAAGGAAGGTTCCCCACAAGGGAATCAATTTATGTGTCCGCTCAAAATCACCAAACGCCCCCCACAACTAGCGTTTGCCTGTTTCTGGAGCCTTCAGGGATACATTTCCTAAATACGCCATTTGTTTCGAACGACCCCACAAAACCACTGGGGGTCTGGCGTAGCCAAATTAAGTCATGACCCTAGCAAAAGGTATGTACTTGTCTAATCCTTCAACTGGGCTGTCCTCAGATCCCCTGCTAAAAGTCAAACTCGGAAAAACAAAAAACTGAAAAAGAAAACAAAAACACTAAACCCCAAACACCTCAAAGCCTTCCTGGGGATGAACCGCCAAGTCAAATTCCCCCCCCATGCCGCGACCGAAGCTCCCGGCCTATGGGTCCACATGGCCAAGGGCATGAAGTTGGTGTGGGGGCCACCTCCCTTGGCGGCCTCCGGCTCAGGTGTTGCCTTTATATTTATGATAACTCGGTTGCTTTCTGCTCCCCTGCTAAGAGAGACTAACTTTTAGTGGTTTAATGGAAAACCCATTAGTTGGCAAAAAGTTAAAGTCCTAACATCCAAGCAAAACGCACCAAAGATAAGAATCTATATATAAATTGAGCACAACTCCAGTAGATTAAAACATCAAAGCTTAATAAAGTATGATGTTCACTAAAAACATATCCACACATATGGACAAACTTACATTGGACAAAACATTGCCTTCATGTCTGGGGTATACACACCATATCCTGGTTGACAGTGGAAGGGGGGCGAAAAAATAGCAGCTAAGTGGATTTGGATTTCAACCACGAAACCTCAATAAGCAAACATGTAAAATGTTTCCCAACAACAACCACGGTGTGGTCAGAGTATGTTCCATAGCCTGTTGGTGGTTTGGATTGGTGGCTTTTGAAGGTTGGGGGAGTGGGTCTATCCTCAAATGAAGTTCGTTGTAGAGACACACGAATTTGCAATCCTAGCTGTGCAGCGCAATCACAAAGCGGGGCCTGTTTCGTAACCTACGCCATCATCTCATCGTCCCGACTCGAAACAAATGACAACTTCACAAGGGAAGGATTGATTCACTTTATTTTTGTCTTTTCTTTTTTATTAATTTCTTACATTTCTTTCATCTATCTATTGGTCTTCTTCTTCTAATTCTTCTCTTTTGGAGTTGTAATTACATGCCTCGCCTCTAGGCGGTATCTTGTTTGTCTTTTTCATATGTCATCTCATTCTATTTCCGGGAGATCCGGCGGGTTGGAGGAACACCAACCGCTTTCCTCTGACGTGCGTCATTCACAAGAACGTGGAAGTACCAATGTACAGCTGGCCGAAATCTCCATTCCCTGCGGATTCATCTGCAACATCATTGACAATTGTCGCGGGAGGGGGGGGGGGTCTTGTTCTCCGAAAGGTCCCTGCGACTGGAGTTGGAGTGGGAATCGCTTGGCTTAGAATTGGCGACTCGTCGACTCGTCCACAGGTAATGAGGACTTGGAATCAGCCTCCGGCAAGAAGGTTGTACTTGTTGCTTGGTGCAAACTACAAAAACAGGACGGCCTCCCCCCACCCCCGCCTTCCCCGCCTTCCGCCGCCTTCCCCGCCTTCCCCGCCTTCCGCCGCCTTCCCCCCCCCTCCCCCCCCGCCGGCCCCGGAGGAGGGGAAACCCAAAACCCCGGCCTTCTGCGCCAGCAGCGCGAAGAGCCCCACCGAGGCCTTGTCGAACTCCGCGGGCGCGAAGAGCTGCGTCTCCGCGCGCCTCTCGAAGCCAAGGCCCAACCGCCGCTTCACGCTTCGAGCGAGCCCGGAAGCCCCGGACGCCCCGCAGAAAAAGGCCCGGAGAAAAATCCCGGGAGGGGGTCCCAGGGAAAAAACAGGAGCTCCCTCCTAAGAATGGTGTGGCTTTCCTTGTGGTACCACTTTGAATGCCAACAAAAGAGTTCTAGAGGCGTTTTTTGAGGAGGGCGCGGCCAAATGGGATTCGGACCCATTCGGACCCCTTTTGGTTGGTATGTGGAGGGTAGCAAAAAGCCAACCGTTGCCATTTTGGGGATCAATTTGAGAAACACTCTGATCGGGCCTGAAACTATTTTGTGTAATTTACATAGGGATTTGTACATGCGAAGAACATGAGGCGGTTGCCCATGATGCATGAGTACGGCCCCTTACTTTGGTATGGTCCCTTTATTCGCTCCATGCACCTGATTGATTGTAAATTGATGATTCGGACAGTGGATGCAATTTGGGGCCCAGACTGGTGGATATCAGAAAACCATGGGGATTTATGCCCAACGACTTTGAAGCTTTCCCAACTTGAAACACCGAGCCACTTAAAATCCCTGGAGTACTCCTTGATTCAGCTTGGTCAACATCAGGCTAGTTGCAGTGGCTACGTTGCATGTACAAGCAAGCTCAGTTTGGCACACAAACCCCGGACCAGCGCTTCAGTGTCGGACGGCACCGGGAGTCTCCATGACCCTTAAAAAATGGGTCAATGACCCCAAAACTTTGAGTTATGACCCCGGGATAAGCGATTCCCTGTGGCACGGTGTACCTTTCCTTCCATTTGGGTAAGACCCCTGGAATATATATATATATATTTCCAGTTGTGATAGATTCCCTTTAAAACCAACAGGGGGAAATAAAACATATTCGTAAGCAAATGGAAGTTTCTGCTGTGAGATTGATCGACATGTCCAGGCCTTCGATCTCTGCCACCGGAGGGGGCGACCCAGAAGATGTGGCCTCGCGGGTGTCGAGTGCTAATTCCTCTCGGCCCTTCTGAGTTGGTACCTGTTGACTTCTTCCTGAGTGGATTGGACCCAAAAAACATCGACGCTTTGCGTTTGACACCAACATGGGCTTCCTCAAAAGTACATTGGCTACTTCCTAAGTGGATTGGACTAAAAAACGTCCAAACTTTTCCTGCGAAGCGAAAGTGGGCTTCCTCAAAAGTATAACATGCAGGAACTCGGGAAGTGAGAATCTAACCATCGCCATGTACAGCAACCCAAGGGAACCCGGCCCTATTTGCTCTCGTTTGGATTGGTGTGCCAGGCGCTCACAAGACCTGCAACCGCACATCTAAGTTGATTTCCCGCTATCCCCAAAAACTCACACAGGACTAATGGGACATACACCCGCCATACACCCGCTATATCAGTATAGAAACTCTAAAGCGCACATACCGTTTCCGCCCCAAGGCTCACCTAGCATTGGACTGAAGACATCGACATCGACCAAGAAAACCAAACTGAGGACACACAAAGGACACACAGTATATGCCCCCAACCCGGCCAAAAACATAGAAACGCTTCTTCGCGGTGCCTCCCTCCTTCATCAATCGCTGCATCTCGGAGATGGTCCTCAGTTTGTGGGAGAATCAGGCAAACAGGTCCAAGCATTGGAACATGACCTGTGAATCTTCGGCCATCCCCTACTGCATCACTTGGGGCCTTCTCTTCTTGCTGGTTCTCAGATCGGAACATGTCCACGACCTGCGGAAATACATCAGGAGCAGTTCTCATACATCGACACCCTTAAACCAAAAGGTCGATGACTTTCTCAAAACGGGGTTTTGATCTTGATGTCCATTACCTCGCGCTTGGACTTCCCCGCGTTCCAGTGATGGCGTTCGCTACATCCGAGGCGCTTCTTGTTGCGCTCAGACTTGGCCTCCTGCTCTTCCGGCGTGCCCTCGTCCAGGTACTTCTTGGAGTAGATGGACAGAAGGTACCGGCCCTTGCCTGCACGGAAAAACCCTGGCCAGACCTGCACCCGCCCAAAAACAACACCTGTACATATATGCGTGCACACACACACATGGCTGTGGCTCAAACAAGTTGTACCAAAATGGCACCAAAGACTAAAACCCGCGTAACCACAGCTCTTTAATTTGAGCCATACCCATATTGCAGACGTGTGCATGCACATTTGCATATGCAGGTGTCCCTGTTATGGCATCATGCAGGCATTTGCATTGTTATGTCCATACGTATGTGTGCATATTCGGGTGAGCTTGGTTTTACCGAATAAAAACATCCGGGCAAACTATAGGAATTAACTTTTTGCAGTGGTACCCAAACCATCACATTTAAGATAACGTCTTTACACAAAGCAAAAGCAACAAAGCGGGTTGCCCACAAGAGGCCCTGATTCTCTTTGATGTGACTGTTTTGGGGGTCGCTTTGATGCTCAACTTTTGCGAGGGGGTTACTGAAACTGCCAAATTAAAGCCTTAGTCTTTTGCATTTGCTTTCAAAGGTTGGTTCACCTAACCAAGCTCTTCGCAGTTCAAAGCTACTATATGGGCGTGTCGGGTCCCATCAAAACAGTGGCGTTTTTCCTGGTGGTTCCCCTCTAAAACCACCAAAAAGGGGTACCCTCCAAAAAAGGACAGAGCCATACGAATGCAAATGAAGAATCTCAGAGTTCCCTTCGGACACCCTTGACCGATATCACAGAACTTCAGCAGGGATACTTGCCTTTACACCAGGTGAAGTCCGTAGGCCTTCTTGGGCGTTCCTAGGTTGTGGGTGAAATCGGGAAGACTGGGCAACCCCAAACCATCACCTACTGTGGATGCGGCGAAATCCTGCACGTTGACACCATGGGAAACCATGGTTTCCTGCCAAATGTCATCCTGCTAGTCAAAGAGGGGAAACAAAGAAGCCCCAAAAGGCTGGGTGAATTATAATATTTCACCGTTCAACCTGAAATAAGGTGGGAGCTGGCTGAACCAAGTTCGGCAATGATACGAAATTAGGCTGAAGGCGACGACTCAACCAACAAAAAGCCTCCGACCCTAACTGATCTAACTGTGGGTTAAGTGTGGCAATGATGGAGGAGAATTCCTGCGCTGGTTTCCCTTTGTATAGGTGAAAAGGGTACCCTCAATAAGCCCAAGTGGTATCCTCAACAGCCCCTGCATGCGCTGCAACCCTCCGAAATCCCCCGGAACCATCCACACACACCTGCCCATGAACAAGGGAAATCGCCCCATCATTTTGAGCCATAACCCATGTTCAAGGGTAGTTTGATGGTCCAGGCACTTGTGTCCCCTGATCCTTGCTTCTCTTAAAGCAACTGCTCCGAGCCGCTGAAGGGTATGGCGAGCCGGTCGGTGGTGACCTGTCAAATGGACCGGCGAGGAATGCTAAGGACACAGGGCGAACAACCAGAAAAAAGCCACCTCACAAGAACCCATCGAACCCAAAAACTTTGTCGAAGTTCCGCGGTGCCGGAAATCCAGACCCACGCCCCTTGCCGAAACCTGTTGACTGTGGTTTATGCTTGGGTGCATTTTCGCAGGTTAACACGGAAACCCAGCAAGCCATATAGTTCTTAGAGGAGCCTCAGTTCTGGGGGCGCCTTTTGCTTAATTTGCATGGGGGTAACTTTTAAAACTGTGGGCTACTTGAGTCTGGGAAAGACTAAATGGCGCTGGCACACAGTTGGACGCAAGGTCCGCTGGTCTGCGCCCATTCCAAAACACGTGCAGTGCATATCAATGGCTTTCAAAGGCTTGGTCGCTGGTGGCAATTTGCGAGCCTGCGGTCCGCGAATTGCATCCGCAAACTACGCTTCGTGGCATTCAAAACCGACTTCCCACTTCGGCGGCGGGCCTTCCTAGCATGCCCTTACCTCAGATGCCCAGCGGCCATGGGAAAAAAAGGGCACCCTTTCTTTGTTGGTTGAGTTTAAAGGGGAACCCCTACCCAAAAAAAGGACGCCACTGGGCAAATTTGGCTGCTCCAAGTTCGGCTCCCTTCCAACCAGCCAGCCTGGGGGCTTCCCTTCCGACCTCACTCCAACCTTCAAAACTGAACTCGGAGCCTTGTGACCCGCCACGAAGATGCACTTCTCCGCCAGCTCTTCATAGCCCTTCTGCTGCAAGAGCAGGGACAGGACCTCGACCGAAAAAACCCATTGGCCCACGCGCCGTCTGTGGGACATTTTGTGCACTGGAAGGCTCAAAGATGGTTTGTCAGCCCGCTGGTTTGGAGATGTTCCCTTTTTGCCCTAAGCCATCCAAGCACCAACTAAGGGAACCCTTGAAATACTGTTGAAAAGCACCAGGAAAGACTGCACGGAAGTTGGCAGACGAGAGTCTCCCAACTTTTGGCAGTGACAAAACGCTCTTCTTTGCACGCACCCACCCCAAAAATGATCAGGACCAAAGAAGCGCAAACAACATAACACGTGGCCCAGACAGTGAGGAGAGCCTGCCTTCAAATGCATCCTCGACCCTTCTTGGAGGTTCCAATAAGTAGATGCCAACAAAACATGAACCAAATTCGCACTCCTTGCGGTTGCCAAGCAGCAATGCCACAGAAAAGAGGCCAGGGGGTCCCCATTCAACAGAGGTCCTTAGTGGTTTCCCTGTGTTTTGGTGGAAAAGGCCATGTTTCAAAAGGTTGCAAAATGACTTCCTTTAAGGAGCCCTGTGCAGCGCTTGCACGAAAAGTCTGGGTAAGCCTTCCCAAGGCCACGCTTTAGCCATTCTCAAAGGGGGGGGGCATGGACGCTGCGGGTCTATCTTGCATCCAAAAAAAAGGGGTCATTACCCGAAACAAAGGAGTCATGACCCCATTCCACGATTAGAGGAAGGCCCAGTTGTAGAATCTATATTTTATAGGTTGCTTCCCTTTGGGTCACTGGTAAAATGTAAAAAATGTATCCTAAGTCTACCCCAGATTTGTGTGAGGGGCATGGAGACGCGAAGGAAATCTTTGAGCTAAGACGTCTCGGCGCTTCTCGGTCCGGCAGAGCCGCCTGGGGGTCTGCCTCCGTCTGGTGGTTGGCCATGAGCACCACGTTCTCCCCCGCTGCCAGCTTCTCCTGCTCTTGAGCAGTGCTTTGTTTCTTCTTCTTTTTCGGGCGGAAAATGGGGTGTCAACAGGCTTGATCTGTGGGTTTTGCTTCGTGTGTTTTTGTGGGCGGCAAATGGGGGGGGTCAACAATCCTGTCACACATTCTGGGCATGTCTTTCTTAACAGGATTTGGGCCACTAAAAAATGGCGGGGTTTGCTTTTGGTTTCCCCTTTCAAGGCAGGCCAAAAGCGGTACCCACTCAAAAAAAGAGACACCCTCTTTTGGGGGGGGGTGTTCACACTTGGACACAAACTGTCGTCAGACGTGTTGCATAACTTTCTGCTTTGTATATCGCATACAACTTCAAAACCTCACTGTGCCCATGCCAAAGCTTGGGCAAGGCCTGCCATACCGCGCGACAAACTGATAGGCCAACCGATTCGATTCGGTTGTGAACGCCTGATCGGCTGGTTCTTTTGCCCTGATTGTTCCGGGAAGATCTTTCAGGAAGCCGGCGTGGGGGACCCAATTCTATTCAAACTCAGAGCCCTACCTTGTAACCGCCGCGGACCCTTTGCCTATTTGAGCCTATCGACCCCCAAAAGGCTTCAAGCTGGGCTTGGGAACGCCAGAAGTCGATGACTCCCGCTGAAATGGATTTGGAGATCCAGCCAGAAGTCGATGACTCCCGCTGAAATGGATTGGAGATCCAGCCAGAAGTCGATGACTCCCGCTGAAATGGACTGGAGATCCCCCCCAGCAAATGTCTAGGGGCCCAAGTCCATGCGAAACGCCGCCTTTGTGGAACTTCCCTGCCCAAACGCTCCCGACTGAATTTGGGGCCTTCAAACGGCCAGGCTTTGAGACCCCAACACCCCTCGAAATTGTCCAAGGGTCTGGGTCTTCCATTGGAAGCCGAAGCCGATCGGAGCGTCTGGTTGCCCCTTCCAAGTCGACCAAATCTGGGTGTGGGTCAAAAATAGGGTAACCCCAGAATGGAACCCTGGTGTTCCAGGAAAGACTAAAACCTGCGGTCCCCTGATGGTTTATCTAATCCCGTCCTTGACCTGCTGCACGTTCTCCAGGCCCTGCCGTCCGAAGCGCTCCGACTCGGGTCGACTTGTTTTTTCTTTTCGCCGGGCTTTATCTGGTACGCGCTGCTGGGGTCACGGTGGTTCTCTCGCGCAGTTGCTTATTATTATCATCATTCTTACTATTACTATCGTTTTCTTATTCTTATAAATGTGGGGCATGGACAAATTCCCTTGATTCCCGGCCTTTACACTTGCCTCATGTTTTTCAGGGGTTGTTTGTCCCTGGCATCCTGATCAGATTGCCCCAGACCTGAGGGCACCGAGCCTTGGGCCCCAGGGCAAAAACTGGTTCCCGGCCCGAGATCTACGATGGAACGGAACCCACGAAGCAAGCAGCACCAGCAGCAAACAAAGCAGAGTGGAGCATCTATAAAACACTGCGTCTGTTTCTGGACATCTGTGTCTTGGAGCCTTCAAAAACACAGTGCTACCTACCACAAAGTTGCTTTGACACCGTTTTAGTTGGTTGATTCCAGCAAAGGAACCCCCCAAAAAAAAACACACGAACCGTGTCTGAACAGCTTTGCTTTGGGTGTGACTGTATTTTGTGTCTTTTATCTCCACCAAGCCCAAGCCCTGGCTAGCGCTGAGCGGACCGCTTTTGGCTTGGACCGCTCCTCGACCCGGGCGAAGCGCCATTTGATCATGGACCGGAAGAAGCTGTTGCCCCAGGCGTAGAGGTCCAACTCCGGCCCTGGCGAGCTTGGGCGCTCGCGAGAATTGATTCCCTCGAGGGTGGGTTTGGAGCCCGGTGGCTTGCAGGTAGAGGAGGGTTGGGAGCCCGATGGCTTGCGCCGGAAGGGGCTGAAATTCCCCGGACCAAACCACCATTGCCCTCTCCAGAATATGGGGTTCAAATCGCTTGCATCGGAAGGGGGTGTTTTTTCTTCCTGAACCGAACCAACAAGAGGTTGGAGTGAGGTTGGATGGTTTCCCTGTTTTTCTCTCCAAAATATGGGGGTTCAAATCCCACAACCACCAATCCAAACCACCCATGATCATGGGTCAACCCGGCAAATTCTGCATGAGCATGTGTCAAACATGGTAACTTACCAAACATGCGGTTGTGTTTTTCCTTATTATTTTTTTCTGGGGATTCCGTTTCAACCAAGCTGAAAAAGGTATCCTCAACAAATATCGGAGGTGCGGGTGGTGTGCATACCACCCACACCTTGGCAGTATATACCGCTTGCACTTGCCTTCAGACCTGCAGAACTGTCGCGCTCGCAGACCAAGAGAACACCGCGAGGCGGTTGAGTGCATTTACCTCCGAGGCCTAGAACGTACTTGCACCCAAACCCTAAGGGTCCATGTACCTTCTGAGGAAGGTCTTTCGAAGTGAGTGCTCCAGCACTGTCGTTCACCAAAAACATGCCCAGCATGGTCGGAGGCCCCATGTGCGTGCTGAGGCCTTTTTGGGGCCATATGGCTCAGAGGGGCTGGTCAAGGTCGCAAGGAAACGTTGTATGAGCATGTTTGATTTACACATGGTCCATGCACATTCTCAGGACGGTTTTTCGAACGCAAGATTCTGGGCAGCACGTGCCCCCGAAATGTGGCGGGAGGGCCCATGTACGTGCTTGGACACTTTCCGGGCCCAACCGCTCGATCCTAGGTGAGGGGCATATATCTTTCCACACACTAGCACTAATACTTCAATCAATTGTGTTGAACCCATGCCTTCCTTGCGCCCTTTTGACCCTTTGTTTTGTAGATCTTTCGACTGCAGTGCACCAAGTGGGTTAGAGCACGCTAGCCCAGGAATCCAACCCAACGATGCCAGTTTTGGGCAACTCGAAGAGGGGACTAGAAACAAGCAGGTGCTGAGCAAACTGTGGCCTTTTTCTTGGTGTGGGGGTTTCGTGGCTGCGGGATTTGTAGCTGGACTAGTTTCATGCAGAGTTGGAGCCAATGCGTGAGTTCATTCAGGCTGCAATCAAGCGCTTTACTAACCCGATGCTGATGTTCAGAATATGCCTCCCCGAGAAACGCTTGAGGGAGCAGCATGAATTAGGTCACTCATCATTGATAGCCGTTCGACAATGGCTAAATTGGCCTGGTAGTCCAACAACGCCAAACCTCATCAATGGTGCAGCGACCCATGATGAGTGTGTTCAGACTGCCCATGCCCCGTGACGTTGGAGCCCTGCAGGAGGTAAAATCTGTGGGCCGTCAGGACTTGGAAACCGTTTTTGCTCAACTTGTCCAGTGTGTTCTGTAAAAAAACAAGCATGCAAGTTTGGGGCATGTGGGCGCTGATCGGAATGCACGCGTTACCCTCGATAACTGGCAACCCTGGCCTTTTTTAGAGCAATTCTGAAGCAATATATGCCTCAATTCTACAGTGCATTAAATTAGGATCTTCTGATTTGGCCTAGTGTCCAGGGTGGGCTCGAGGATATGACGTGTGGCTGCCTGACATTGAGGTTGGTAGCGCAAAAGGCAATGTGCCCCAAGCGAGGCCAGGCTGCTGTGTAAGTCAACCGCAACCCAGCTAGCGCTGGCAGCCTCGACAGCCAACCTTTACCGCGTAGCCCTTGACCCTGGTTATCCGTGTATGGGTCCACCAGGAAGACCTAGGCCGAATCGCCACACTCACAGATCAGTCATCATCTATTCAGGGTGCACGTCGTCTAGGTTTGGTGGGACCGCTAGGCCTAAATGAATGGAACCGGCTTCCAAGCGCACGCGGCATAGTTTGGGCAGCCCTGCAATTGTCTTCGAAAACAGCCCCAACCAGAGTATAACCAGACAATATATTACATTGGTGATCTGCCTGGATATGCAAGGCTTGCAGATTGACGCCCCCCTATTTTCAGCGAGAAACTGCGTGACACGTTGTTTTTTCTTTTTATTTTTTTTTGTCCGGGAGCTTCTCCTGACCAGTCTTCGCAACACCACAAGTTTGTTTCGCATGGGGTCCGGTCCAAGTAGCAACTATTGAAGCTATTGAAAGAAGACCTTCTATTGACACCTGCCCATGTACAACTGGTGGGCATGCAGGAGTCACTGATCGGGTGCGTTTGGGATGTGTTGAATTGGAAGCCCCTTTCTGACACCTATTCATGTACAGCATTCGCACAATTGTTTGAATAGGCTTTCTCAGTGCTTTCGGGATGACGGAACAGGAAGCCCTTGTTGAGCCATCTACCCACGTCTAGACAAATGGCTCAACATGTGCCTTGATTGGGCTGCACTGGGTGGGTTTTGCGGTTCCGCGGTGTTAGGAAGAATTTCAAGGCAATGCTTGGTTGAATGGTGATGCGAACCAAGCAGCGATAGATTTGCGTTAGATTCGTGAAAATTGCGTTAAATGACCGTGCTGGGCAACTTTCCAGCGTTAGATTTGCGTTAGATTTCGTTAGATTTCGTTAGACTCCCCATGAGCTGGCCGTGTCACGAAGCCCTCAACGCGGAAATGCGAATTTGAAGTGGCCAAATATTTGGAGGGTTGCCGAGCGCCTGACGAGCCGGCCCAGAATCCCGAATAATTCCTCATCAACCAACCCTTCAGAATGCTGGTCTTGTCTCAAAACAAACGTGCGCAACTTGCCCCCACACTCGTCTCAGGCTGGGCCACTTAGAGGCTTGTGTGCTTTGTCGCACACGGCATGTCTGGAAAAAAAACAAATTCATCATGTTTTCCGGAAATTGGCTTTGCACCCCAAGGTGCAACCAAAGGTCCAATTTTGGAAACAAGCACACACCTCAAAGCCCCCTCACGGCGTCGAGGCCATGAGTGTGTTTAAGGGCTTTGGGGTGAAGTACATCATCCTACTTGGACCCCATGCGAAACAAACTTGTAGTGTTGCGAACACTGGTCAGAAGAAGCTCCCGGAAAAAACAAAACGTGCCAAGCAAATTCTCGCCGGAAATGGGGGCGTCAAGCTGCAAGCCCTGCAAATCCAGGCATATGTTGCCTGGTTGGGTCTGTTTTCGAAGACAACTGCATCGCTCCCTGCTAAAACTGCGGCTTGCCCAAACTATGCCGCTTGCGCGCATGGAAGCTGGTTCCATTCAACAGGTTAAGGGGTCCCACCAAACCTAGACGATGTGCACCCTGAATAGATTATGACCGATTTGTGAGTGTGGCGATTCGGCCTAGGTCTTCCTGGTGGACCCATACACGGATAACCAGGGTCAAGGGCTACGCGGTAAAGGTTGGCTGTCGAGGCTGCCAGCGCTAGCTGGGTTGCGGTTGACTTACACAGCAGCCTGGCCTCGCTTGGGGCACATTGCCTTTTGCGCTACCAACCTCAATGTCAGGCAGCCACACGTCATATCCTCGAGCCCACCCTGGACACTAGGCCAAATCAGAAGATCCTAATTTAATGCACTGTAGAATTGAGGCATATATTGCTTCAGAATTGCTTTAACAAAGGCCAGGGTTGCCAGTTATCGAGGGTAACGCGTGCATTCCGATCAGCGCCCACATGCCCCAAAAAGTGGAACACCAGTAGGCCGGGAAAACACACACACAAACTCAGCAATTGGCAAACTTGCAACGCCTAAGGGCGCACGCATCAGGCCATCATCGACATCTTGGCAGAAGCCTTGCTCAGTAAAAACGGCTGAGCAGCCCCAGCTTCCAGAGTCGCACACTTGCATGCTTGTTTTTTTACAGAACACACTGGACAAGTTGAGCAAAAACGGTTTCCAAGTCCTGACGGCCCACAGATTTTACCTCCTGCAGGGCTCCAACGTCACGGGGCATGGGCAGTCTGAACACACTCATCATGGGTCGCTGCACCATTGATGAGGTTTGGCGTTGTTGGACTACCAGGCCAATTTAGCCATTGTCGAACGGCTATCAATGATGAGTGACCTAATTCATGCTGCTCCCTCAAGCGTTTCTCGGGGAGGCATGTTCTGAACATCAGCATCGGGTTAGTAAAGCGCTTGATTGCAGCCTGAATGAACTCACGCATTGGCTCCAACTCTGCATGAGACTAGTCCAGCTACAAATCCCGCAGCCACGAAACCCCCAAACCAAGAAAAAGGCCACAGTTTGCTCAGCACCTGCTTGTTTCTAGTCCCCTCTTCGAGTTGCCCAAAACTGGCATCGTTGGGTTGGATTTCTGGGCTAGCGTGCTCTAACCCACTTGATGCACTGCAGTCGAAAGATCTACAAAACAAAGGGTCAAAAGGCGCAAGGAAGGCATGGGTTGAACACAAGTGATTGAAGCATTAGTGCTAGAGTGTGGAAAGATATATGCCCCTCACCTAGGATCGAGCGGTTGGGCCCGGAAAGTGTCCAAGCACATACATGGGCCCTCCCTGCATGCTGGCCACATTTTGGGGGCAAATGCCGCCTAGAATCTCGCGATCGAAAAGCCAGACCATGTGGGGTGCTTAGTTACAGATCGGTGTTGTTGGTCCCCCTATGCCCACCTGCTGCCCCAAAAGTGTCTCAGCATGGACGCGGCCTCAAACCTGGTCTTAGCATGTACGGGAATTAGAAGTACTTCCTCAGAAGCTAAGCGGGACCCTAAGGGACAGAAACTAGCCAGAAGAATGCTGTAAGCTGCTCTAAAATTCCGTTTCTTTTTTAGCGAGGGTCGGGACCTAGGTCTCTTTGCATTTTGGTCTGTTTGCAATCCCCGAAGCGTCCAAGGCAACGAGCATCGGGTCGGAAATTGGATCGCAATGCTCTCAAATGCGCTTCTCCCACATCTGACCTACCACCCCCAAACCGCCTCCCCAGTTTAGTGGGATACACAGCCACTTATAGCCACTACCCGGGTAGCACCCCTTAACATGCCAACTCCTCCAGGAGGATGCCTTGGACTCCGTGCCGATTCATGTATTTTTCGGATGCGCCTCGTATGGCCTGGTGGTAGGGCTCGAACTCATAAGGCGTCTCTGCAAAAATGGAATCCAGCAGCACCGTGAGCGTGGTGTTCCTTTCCCGGGCCGCTCATGGCGTGGCTTGTTCTCAGGCTTGTTTTGACTCCGCCTGGGGCTTGAAAGGAAACCAACAGCTACAGCCGCGGACATTTTTGTTGACACAAACCCTGATGGACGCTGCTAGAAAAGGGATCATGACCCACCAAAAGCGTTCATAGCTAGTGACCCAAACGGGTCAGAACAAGGGAAGCCTTTTCGGGGTTGACCTAGTGAAGTTCACCCAAAACCGGGAGCGGTTCCTTAAACCCTGACGGACTACAGCCGCCATTTCATGTTTAGGATTGCCCGCGCTTGGTAAGCGGCTCTTAAAAAGGTGCAGCTGAAAACCAGGGATCTGGTTGGCCAGTGGGTGGGAATCAATCACCTGAAAGAAAGCTTTCAGGACTCTCTTGGTTCAGTTTTCCATCTACAGCGGCCTTTTGGAAGCTTCAATGTCCGGGTGAAACATGAAAACGAGAACCAGGGTCCCAAAGCGTGTCAGGGTAGAAAATGTAGACCCTGGAAAAGAATCCAACAGTTAGGTCCTTGCCACTTCTGCGCAACGTGCCTCGTACTACGAGAAGGACAAAATCCATTTTGCACCAGTTGGCAAGGGCTTTATCCCATTCATGGCCCAGTGGATCCATTTACCAGTATAGTAGGTAACCAAGGGCTTGCCACCAGATATAAAAACCAAAAGGAAAATATTGTGAGCCACACCCAAGTTGGGTACTTGGGATCCCCATAGGCCAGTGGATCCGTTTGCATGGTAGGTCAAGGGCTTGCCGCCATTGAAAAGAAAAAGAACCATGGGGCAACAGCCAAATCGTACCCCCAGTGAACATCCCAGTCCCCACTAAAATAGGCTCTAAGATGGGTGGGTGAATTCACCTATCCAACCTACATGGGATCCCAAGACGGTTTTGACCACCACACCCAAAATCGGTACGTTGGATCGGTTCGGAGTTTGTTTGTTTTTTCTGCGGCGCAAGGCTCAGCAGGTCCCGGTACTCCGCCGGCGGAGTCCGCGCGATCACATGGCTCCTACTCCCAGAGAACTGGGCTGCCCGTTCTCAGATCCGCGAACAGTTTTTCACCCCCGCAATCGCCCACTGAATTCTCCTACTCGAGGCAAATAGCATTTGGGCCGAGCCTCAAAGGGTGAAGTTTAAAACCATCCAAAAGGGAAATGAACTCGGTTGCTTTCTGATCCCCCGAGAAAAGTGACGAACTTTTAGTGGGTTAAATGGAAACTAACCGGATGGCTGGGAGCCACCAAGAGAACCTTCTCGAGGAAACCAGCCCGGGTATGAGAGGTGGGACGTGGTGGGGCCCTGCTTTTAGAATGCTCCAAACGCGGGTTCCATGTTACTGTGGAAGAAAATATCAAAGCGAGAATCCCACGGTGCCTAATTGCTTACAAAAGGCAGGGGCTGCCCAGAAGTGTTCTACCACAACCATGCGATGCTGTCGCTCCCTTCGACAGTTCAGCCTCCAGCCCCATCCGCAATCAGTGGGGATTCAGCTTGGGGTGCGGGCCGCCCCAGATGGGCATTTGGCAACCATAGGGCCCATGACCGAATCAAGCAACATGCATGCGGAAATCATGCCGGACTTATACTCAACAAGCTGGTTAGCTTGGTTGCTTGCAAACTCTTAAGACATTTTGTGGGTTCAAATCGGAAACCGCTGGAGTTCACGTCAAAAGATTGAACCCACTAGCAATCAAGGGTTTGCCATGGTTTGAATACGTTTGCCTTAGAGCCCGCGGTTTGCCTTAGGCCGTTGCGGTGGGTTCATCCCAGGCAGGGGTGGGTCCAACCCTTGGAATAGCTACCTTGGGCCCAAGCGGAAGACAGGCCGAGGCCAAGGACCTTTTGTTTGTTGCCCGGGAAATGGAACTGCCATAGAATTCCAGGGCTCAACCCCTCCAATCTGCGACCTGGCGATGTTGCCCCAAGGTCAAGAAATCGCGAAATCGCGTGCGCGGAAGTGGGAGAGAGCGCGCTCATTGTCCACATCCAAATCAGCCGAAGATCCAAACAATCAGCATGAAACAATTCAATCACAAACCGGGCACTTGTTGGTCTGGTGGCGGTGAAACCCGCTAAGCTTGCCCAAGAAGGCACCTGTTTGTTTCTTTCGGCTGGGGATTCCTCTCCCTCCAAGGGTCAAAACCCGAATCGTACCCCCAGTGAACATCTCAATCCAACCACTAAAATAGGTTCTAAAATGGGGGGTGAATTGACCTACCAACCAAACTAAGATCCCAAAACGGTGTTGACCACCACGCCATATCATATGTGGTGGTCAAAACCGTTTGGGCTCCCATTTTGGTAGGTGAATTCACCACCCATTGCCCCGCTTTTGGGTACTTGGGATCCACTGATTTTAACATCTCCTCATGTACGCCGGGAGGAAGGCCTTCAGCGTGTCCGCCGCACCGCTGCTGGGCTTCCTAAGCTCGGATCAAGAATGGTCCTCCAGTAGGGAGCTTAGAATAAGACTCCCCCCCAAAAGAAACATCCCCCACAGCATTGGTTTCTGGAGAATAAGTTGGTACCCGATTTTTGTCTGTAGTCTATTTTAGTAGGAGAACCCTCCCAAGGAAGAAAGGGTGAGAAAGGCCACTGGGGGACCTAGCCTTGGGCGACCTGGGAATCCAAGCTCACCTAGCGAGCCCAGGTGAAACTGTCCCGAATCCAAAAGCGCCCAAGCGCTCGGTTACCGACAGCCAGATCCGAGGTTTAAAAACGCGTTGTCGCTTAAGACTTCCCGACTCCCTTGAACTTGCTCGCCGCAAGGGTTTCAGGTAATCCTTTGGTGGTTTGGATTGGTGGGATTTGAACCTCTGGTTCTTGTGGACAGGAAGTCCCCCTCGTAAACCTCCAAGTCACCAATGCAAGCCAGCGGTGGCTTTTGCTTGCAAAAAGTGGGCGAGCCTATGGAATGAATGGCTGCCTGAGGCTCCCACGATTTGTGCCGCAAGTTGAGCCGCTTGCCCCAAATCAGTTGTTTGGTTCACATACCAAGAGTCAGCTTCCGATGAGTTACCCGGCCCTGTCGAAGCTCTGGCAAACCATGCGAGAGAGGCCGTACACCACACACCAAAACATAGGCAACCAAATCCGCCGACCCCATGCCTGGTCCAGAATGGACCATGCTTTCGGCATGGGGGCGGTGTGTTCTGTGTTGCTTTTGTTGATATGCTTTCTATAAGTTTAATGTGAATATGATTATGTAGATATATATATATATATAACCTATATGTCCCTTGGGGCGGCCCTTGGGGCTGGTTTCTACGTCGGCTGGATTTCTGGATTTCTGGATTTCTGGATCTCTGGATTTCTGGATTTCAGGAATTCTGGATTTCCCCACCCCTCCCCCCCCCTCCCCCACCTCCCCCCCCCCAGTCCTTCCGTAGTCTTCCGTAGTGTTCCGGCTTCTTCCCGTAGTCTTCCGTAGTCTTCCGGCTTCTTCCAGTAATCTTTCGTAATCTTTCGGCTTCTTCCCGTAATCTTCCGTAGTCTTCCGGCTTCTTCCCGTAGTCTTCCGTGGTCTTCCGCCTTCTTCCCGTAATCTTCCGTAATCTTTCGGCTTCTTCCAGTAGTCTTCCGTAGTCTTCCGTAGTCTTCCGGCTTCTTCCCGTAGTCTTCCGTAGTCTTCCGTAGTCTTCCAGCTTCTTCCCGTAGTCTTCCGAAATCTTTCAAGCTTCTTCCCGTAAATTTCCGCAATCTTTCCGGCTTCTTCTCCTAGTCTTCCGATACTGTTTCGGGACCAAACAACGCGCGTGTCCTGTGCTTTCGGGCTTCTTCCCTAGGCTTCGGGTAGTCTTCCCCCACCCCTCCGCCCCCCCCTGTGTCTGTCTATGTCTGTCTACGTATCTGCATCTGTCTTCGTGTCCGCGAAGACCCCCCCTGCCCCTGCGTGTCTGTCTGTGTCTCTTTGTGTCTGTCTGGGTCTGTCTGCGTCTGTCTTCGTGTCCGCGAAGACCCCTTGCGTGTCTGTCTCTGTCTCTTTGTGTCTGTCTGTGTCTGTCTGTGTCTGTCTACGTATCTGCGTCTTTCTTCGTGTCCCCCCCCCCCCCCCATCCCGCGTGTCTGTCTGTGTATTTGTGTCTGTCTGGCTCTGTCTGCGTCTGCCTGCGCATCTGCGTCTGTCTTCGTGTCCGCGAAGACCCTCCCCCCCGTTGCGTGTCTGTCTGCGTGTCTTTGTGTTTGTCTGTGTCTGTCTACATATCGCGTGCTTTCTCTCGTCCCGGGCCGAAATTCTAAGGTGTGTGGGGGCGGCGGAACCAGGCCGCAGGCCATTAAATAAGCAAAAGCCAACCGAACCAACCAAGCCAACCGCACCAACATGCACCAACCAATCCAAACTAAACATACACAAACAAACAAACAAATCTAGGGGTACCTTCCCCATTCTTTCCAGGGATCCTTCCTTCCAGAAAACCTACAGAAACCCAGGGAAACACCTGGAAAATAACGATGGTTGAAAAGAATGAATGGGAAAGGAATCACCCCTTAGAACAAAGTGACAACTAAACATATATAAATTCACCAACTTTAACCCACCCAATTAACCAACCACTCTAACCACTCCAGACAAACCAACCAACGTAAACCCTCCATTTCGCCTCACTTCCCAAGTTGACTGCCCAAAAAAAGTTTGAACTTCTTATTTACCACTAAAATGGTCTTTCCAAAAAATGCAAAGTCCACCAACTCAGGAAGTGAGTCGCCCCCTCCCCCCCCCCCCCCCCGCGGTTTTTTTGGGCCCCGGCCGGCTGGTTGTCATGGTCTTGGCGCGGGCCTTGGCATCCTGCGCCAGCGCCTGGCCATGGCCGCCTCAACCCTCGGAGCGCAAGAAGCCAGGGGAAGCCACCAGCCAAAAAAAATTGGGGCCAGCACCTGGTGGTTAAGGGAATTGTTGGAGAATAATTATATAAATATATATATATATAGTGTAAAAAAAAAAAAAAACAAGAGGGGCATCCAATCTTGACATATCGCCACCCTATCAAGCTACCCGATTAAACACTTGGTTGACGTCACGAAGGGGAAGGCAGCACTGGGCGGCAGCCCTTCAACTAGCGGTTTGGATTGGTAATTTGGAGGTGTTCCGGGGGTGGATTGAAGGGAAGCAACAATTCGCAAATGTTAGCAGTTCAGTGGATTGGGATTTCAACCACTCAACCACTCAACCACAATAAGCAAACATGCAAAATGTTTCCCAACAACAACCATGAAAAAGGGAAAGGCACCAACCCCAAGGCTTCCAAAAATTTTGGGCCCTGAAGATGGGTTGATCCCAAGAGCTCCCCACAGTTTTTGGTAATTTGAAAATTCAAAACGTACCCGAGCCCTCAAAATTCCCTTGAAAACTCGGTGATGGCCCAATTTTTGTTGGTTCTCTAAGGCTCGCCCCTCCAATGCAAGCCCCCGGGCCCAATGAAAAACCCAGGAGACAATTCTAACACCCAGAGGATGCCACTCCCTTATTCTTTTCAGGATCCTTGCTTCTCCAGCAATCAGCAGAGGAAGGGGCCGTTTCTTGTGAAAACAACAATGGTTGAGCATCCTTGAAGAACCAACTCAACTTTCTGGGAGCCCTTCACCCATGGTTCCAAACAGTCTTAATCGAGATTGAACGTGGAGAAATGAGCAAAATGGCGCCTTGCTTCTCTCTCTCTCTCTCTCTCTCTCTCTCTTTTCGCTTTTTGTCGGTGAATGATTCGATATGCTTCTTGTTGGTGCCTTTCTCTTTGCTTCGGTTGTTTGTTCGTTTGTATAGTGCAGTGGTACGCCAATCCAACCACCAAACCGCACAACAGCACTCTTGCGAATTTGCATTGGGGATTGGAGGACGACCCTGGGGCTACAGGGACGGTTGTGGGAGGGACCCTCCAGGCAGAGACTTCACCATTCACGAGACATTCCAATGGAACAAAGGAGGTTGCCGCAACCCAACTTGATGCCAATTCGGTGTGTCGTCTTGTGCAAAGTGAAGCCAGAAAAAAACACATGATCAAAAATACTCAGTTGTTCAGTGACCCTGGAAAAAAAGGGAACCCTTTTTTGGGAAGACCATTTTAGTGGGGCAGCCACCCCCCCCAAAAAAAGGGGGAAAAAGGGCAACTGAGAGTAAGGTGAAACCAAGGAAAACCACCGGGGAAACCACCGGATGCTCAAGGAATTCACACGATTGAACCCTGATTCCTGGTGAGACATGCGCCATAGCTAACAGCTGGTTCTCTTGACAGGAGCTTGGGCTTCGGGGAAAAAAGTGAACCCAACTTGGCAAGTTGAGAGAACTCTTAATGCATGGTGGTATCTATGGGAGGTCACGTGGAATACTGAACTTTTCTTCAAGGAACCGTTTGTTTGCGTGTTTCTGTCTGTTTTTCTTTGGTATTTGTATTTGTGCGTGTGTTTTGTGCTTTTGTAGTATTTCTGTTTGTCTTTGTGTGTTTGTGTGTGTGCACGCGTGTTTGTGTTTGCGTGTTTCTTGTGTTTGTGTGTGCGTGTGTTTTTTTTTTGTGTGTGTGTGTGCTTCTGGTGTTTGTGTTTGCGTGTTTGTGTTTGTATGCTTGTTTGCTTGTTGGCTTGTTTGTTTGTATGCTTGTTTGTGTGTTTGTTTGTTTAGTTAGTTATTTGTTTGTTTTTGTGTGTTTGTGTTGTTTTGCTTTTGTGTGTTTGTGCTTGTGCCTTTGTCCGTGTGTTTGTGATTGTGTGTGTGTGTGTGTGTGTTTGTTTGCGCTTGTGTTGTCGTTTGTGTTTGTACGTGTGTGGTTGTGTTTGCGTGCTTGTGTATGTATGTGTGTGTTTGTGTGGTTTCGCGTGTGTGGGTGTGTGTTAGAGTATGTGATTGTGTGATTGTGTGATTGTGTCATTGCGTGATTGTGTGTGTGTGCTTGTTTGTGTTTGTGTGTTTGTGGGTTTTGTGTTTGTGTGGTTTGTGTTTGTATGTTTGTGTGTTTGTGTGTTTGTGTGTTTGTGTGTTTGTGTGTTTGTGTGTTTGTGTGTTTGTGTGTTTGTGCATGTGTGTGTGTGTGTGTTCGTGTCTGCGAGCGTGTGTGTGTGTGAATGTTGTGTTTGATTGATTGATTGTTTGTTTGTTTGTTTGTTTGTCTGTGCTTTTGTTTGTGTGTTTGTGCTTGTGGGTTTGTGGTTGTGTGCGCGTCTGTGTGTTGTATTTGTGTGTTTGTGTGTGTGTGTTGTGTGTGTGTGCGCGTTGGTGTGTGTGTGTGTGTGTGTGTGTGTGTGTGTGTGTGTGTGTGTGTGTGTGTGTGTGTGTGTGTGTGTGTGCGCGTTTGTGTGTGTGGTGTTTGCGCGTGTTTTCGTTTGCAGGGCACCTTTTCGGGGTCGGTTTTTGAGGGAACTCATTTTTAGGGGGTCTCCCCATTTTGACGCATACCCAGGTTAGTCGGCATATGGGGGTCAAATGGGACCGGAAAGTCTTTGAACAGCAAGCGCCAGTCCTTGGTGATCGACGCCAGCCGGAGGAATCGGTAGGGAGCGGTGACAATGGCACCCACATCACCCACCACCTGCAAGTCCCAGCTTCTTTGTGGAGGAAATACCATGAACTCGCGTCATTAAAGTGACCAGCAAAAGAAATGCCCTGACATCCCCCAAGCTACCCAAATAGCGTTTTTACGGGGGACACCACCCGCAAAAGCACCATTTTTGAGAACCGAGGAGACTTCCACCCTCAATCTACCCTTACAAAATGGGTTATGGCCCCAAAGTTATGGGGTAGTTTGGACTTACAGGAACGCCTGAAGGATCTGACCGGGTGACTGATTGGAGAAATTGAACCGGCCTGACGAGAAAAACAACATCGGAATCGACAAGCAAGGGCACGAGGTGCCAGGAGTGCCAGGGACTTTCAGTGATTTGAACTTCTCACTGTCGCAACTGGCTTCCACTTGTGCAACCACGCCTGGATCCTGGACCTGTCAATATCGTCCAGCCAAACCATCCTTCTGCGCGCCTTCACCTTGCCCCGAGATCTGGGGCCATCATGTCTCGTGACATCCTCCGCACCCTCTTGGTCGGAAGGGCCACTCTTCTCACACTGCCCCTTCCCCATCCCCCGCCAAAATTGCGCGCCGGGGTTTCGCAGGCGCTAGTCTTTGGCTCCATCTCCCAAGGTGACCCATTTGGTACATTTTTTGAGCCACAGCCAAATGAGAACCCCTGAAAACGCCCCATATTCGATCCTCCGATTCGATCCAAGAAGCAGAGAGCGCGAGGGGCGCCGGTGTCACGGGCGTTTCCCGGCGAAGAGGAAGAAGTAGCAGACTGCCGAAGAGCAGCAAGCCCAGCCTGGCTCATTTTTTTGGGTGAAACCTCCTGGCAAAAACACCAGAACCACGAAGCAGATGTTGCACTTTTTCCCAGCGAATTTAAGGAAAGGGGAGCTGAGACCAGGGTGAGACCTTTACTCAGCTCAAGTTGGAAAGGTAAAAAACGCCCACAAGATCAGAAAACACGTGAGGATGCAACTGTTCTAGGTGCAACCCTCAAAACGGTGATTGTGCTTGTGGCGTCCCTTTAAAACTACAAAAAGGTGAGTACCTTCAAAAGGAAACACACCCAAATGAGCTTTCAAAAGTTTGAAGCAAGGCTCGCAAGTGTGCTGAGCTCCCGAACAGGATCATGAGAATCAAGCATTGATCAAGCGCTGGTGGATTTGGGGGTGTCCCATTTTAGAGGGGGATCCTTCACTGGAATCCTCCCCTATTGAAGCGCCAGGTGAAATTCATCCACGTCTGTGAATGAATATCAAAATGTTGACCCCGGATTAAAAAACATTAATATAGGCGTGTCCCTAGTTTTAGTGGGGATTTGTCACTTTTGGAGGGGAACACCCCCATATTAATAAACAGAAGTTAATTAATCCGGGGTCGTGCAGGACATGGCGGAATTGGCAAATCCCCTTGTCATTGCGCCCCGATTCTGACCCGGTTCGAGGGTTCCTCAAGCCTCCCGATTCTTGGTTGCTGTTGACCCCCTGCAAAAAGTTTAACTTTTTGGGGGTTTAGTAGAAACCACCTTTATTTCCCAAAACGGTTAAAGTCTAAAGATCCAACCCAATAGCAGTCGAGGATTTTCTGTTTTATCTTGGGGGGCATTGAAGCTCCTTTTGACCTACCCCACGTTACTGATCAGCGGGTTTCAGAACGGACACAAGATTGTAGCTCGACTTTACGGAAAGCCACCCGCAAGACCCAGGAGCATGATTCAGCTTGGCAAGGCAAGCACAAGCTTCCCCTGCAAAAGCAAAAAACAAGTAGTCATAGACTAATAGAATTCCCTTTCACTTTAACATTCAATTTGGAGTATACAAAATGGAAGTGAAAGGGAATGTACATTATTTCCCTTTCCCTTCCACTTCCTTTCACTTTATTCTTGAGCAAATGGAAGTTCAGCTTGGCAACCCCCATCTCCCTCTGGCCTCCTACGCGCCATCGAAGCCAGGCTTCCTTCCGCCCCTTTCGGCCCCGACGTTTTTTTCAGCACAAGGGCTGGAAAATTTGGCCGTGGCGGTTCGTGTTTGGAGCTTGCCGCATTCTTAAACCGAGGCCGGGGAAAATTGCAAAAAAAATCAAGCACGGCATGCACACTTCTTTTGAAGCATGAGTCTCTGCAGGCGAACCCCCCTCTCTGAGCAACACGCTGCGGACGGCGCCGAGTTTCAGTCTCGGTAGTTGGCGCCAACTCACACGGCCACCTTTGGACCAGTGGGCTCGCTGGGTCTTGGGGTCGTTGATTGCTAAGTCCTTTTGATCTTGGGAAAAGACCCGCGAGGACGGGTCGTGAAGTGTAAAGTTTGGGACACGCACATAACAGGCTTATCTCCATTTCGCTTTCAGATAGTTCAGCAAATCTTTGCCACAGGTGTGCGTCTTGTTAAAATAGATGGCACCGCGTGACCATATGGTACTTTTTCTCACGGCTAAACCATATGGGTTTGTCTTTATGTGAGGCTCGGTGCCCTTTTTGGGGTTGGCAAGAAGGAAAACCGAAAGCAAATTGACAACCATTTTTCGGGGCTTCTTTTCTTGAGGCAAACCCAAAGAATCATTTCACCAGCTGAGCCTTCCAGGCCAAAGGAGAGATTCAAATGCAACATGCAGGCAACATGTCACCACATTTGCAACTCGAGAACGAGCAATTCTGACCCTGTCCCGGTTCTAAGGACGTCCGAAGTCAAGCGCAGATCTAAAAAGAAGACATGGCAAAAGCGGACGAGATCCGCGAGATGATCAACAATATGCCGGTGCCCCCATTGGGCAGTCAAACACAACATGATAATGGAAGTACTTGGTCAATTGTCAGCCCTAGGATTTGAAGAAAGTTACCATCGGCTTCGTCGGCTTAGTTGAACAGAACTTCATATGCTAACCTCCAACATGTCCATGCCTCCAGAACTGGAAAGACATGGATTCCCAAGTCATGGACCATCATGGACCCCTTTCAGATCCCACCCGGGTGAGCTCGTAGAAACCAAAAACGACGGCGAGCCTGTCTGCATGTGCGGCCGATGCCTTTTGGCATCGGCGGAGGGCTGGAGCCAGAGGCGAGTTGATTCACTTTTTTTGCAAATGGGGAACCGAATCGGTGGTTTGGTGGCGAAACACGGGGTTTCCCACAAGGGGTGTTTTAGGACCCAACAAGTGTGATTTCTGATTCCCTTGTACTGTTGGACCCAACAAGTGTGATTTCAGGGAGTTTCCCATCTATCCTCTACAAGAACCATGGGTTCAAGCCCCAATCGAATCCACCAAGTGCCTGACCTCCCTCTAGTTCAACACAAAATACAGTTACTCCCGAGTCAAGGGAAAATCCGCCAGAACACATGATGCTTGAAAGGCACAAAGGGAAGACTGTTCGAGAACCCATCCAACAACTGATTTTCACATTCTCCAAAAGGTTTGCCCGAGAGAAGTCACCGAATGAAGCTGGCGACGGAAGAGTTCCAACTCGGCTCCTGAAAACCAGCATGCCCTTTTCTCCCCTAGGGATGTGTTTGAGCTGGTATTCAGGAACCTGGCTTCCCAAGCATGCAGTCACTGGATCGTTCAGATTTGGGCCTTTTTGTGCGGGCCAACGTGGTCCTAGGGTTCAACCCCCCATTAAAAGAATGGCTGAGAAAAAGTGGGATGATGACAATCCATGGTGGTTGTATGAAACCATTGCTATGGTGGATTTGAATTCCAGGGTCCAAACCCCCAGGCATGTGGCGCAGTCGGCTTGGACGCTTTTTTCGGAGAGCCCGAGCCCCCGGTAGCGGAGAAGATTTCAGCTTCCCCCTCGAGCTGCTGGCTGGGCTGATTGTTTTTGCTCTTCTTCTTTCTTTTTTTTTTGTGTGTGTGTGTCTTTGCTCGGTTGCCCCCTGCTAAGAGTGACTAACTTTTAGTGATGTGACGGAAACAATACTTCGCTTCGAGCAATCCCCGCTTACGACCGGTACAACAAATTCCTCCGCATCCTAGAGACTTCGACTCCAAATTCCCATCGGCATTTTTGGACATTAAGCAAAACCAGACTGGCGAGGTGCTCTGGCGGGATACTGGCAGGATCCACCGGCAAGGGATACTCAGCGGGATACTCAACGGGATCCACTGGCGAGCTCTATCCATTGGCGGGCTGTCTGGTGGGATACTGGGCGGGATCCACTGGCGAGCTACTCTGGCGGGATGATACTGGGTGGGGGCGTGGTGTAGAAGCATCGCAAATGCCGATTCCAACATACAATCTAACAACCCCTTCCTGTCGGGTGGGGAAAAACGTTCGTTGGCAAAAAGCTAAAGTCCAAACATCCCAGTGCTCCCAAAACTCCCAATGATTTTTGGGCCCTGTGTTGATTTTAAGGGCCCTCAGGTTCTGGCTTCTTCATTGGCCACGGCCTGCATTGGAGGGGTCATGGGCCTTAGGGTGTGTGTCTTTGGACGATCTATGGCTACTGGAAAATGGCACGAGAACCACCGCCGATCTTTGATGCGTCTCGATTCGCCAGCCCGGAACTGGAAGGCAAGCTGCATGCGCTTGAAAGCACCCGAGGCGTGGCTTTGCCACGCCCTTGCCATGGGCTTGCCATGCCTTCGGTTTGGCCGGGGTTCGATTTTTTTCGAATCGACTCAGGGGCTCCAAGGGCCGTAACGGTACCCCAAGTCGACTTTGAAGCCTCTGCTCCGGTGCCGCTTTGGATGTACGACTTTTCCGGAAGGCTCGCCTTCCAAGTCCGAAGACGTATGCGAGATTCGGCGAGGTGAAGAAAACACAACAACGTCTCCTGGGTTGGTTTCGGACCATCCCCAAAGAGCCCATCACACCTCGCATCCCCCCATCAGTGAGCCCTTTGCGGTAACAGGCATGGGGCCTGCTCTCCTTGCGGAGAGTTGGGGTGCCAGAGACCCATAGAAGTGAGGCACGGGGGGGTGGGGGGGGTGCCAACTTTCCACACTTCAAAAGTACGCTCCCTTCGGGTTGCTCCTTTCAGACCGAGAGGAAAAAAAGAAGATTCTCAGCGTGTGCTTTTGCTTTGGCCCTCCGGGGAAACCCATTTCCTGCCCTGCCAACAAGGTATTCCAACACCTCATCATGAAGGAAGGGATCATAGGTGGCCTTTTGGAAAAAAAGGATGGTTTTCCCTGGTAAATGGAACAAACCCCATCTAAACCAGTGAACCCCATCTATTTTTAACCAAACTCACCGATGAAAAGGACGCCTATTGAAGGGATCCTCAGCTTGAGCAACCCAAGGGTGCGCGGCCATGGGGTCTATCGTCCCCTGGCGAGCGCGTCAAAGCGGCGAGCTTGAGCCCAAGCATTTCGCGCTTGCGATGGCATGGCTCTAGGAACGGACCAGCGTCTGGGCCAGGTGCAACGCAAACGCCTGTCGAGCAATGCCCGGGATGGGCTTTCGCGCAAGAGAGTGCAAAAGGAATTTCGACGCTTCGCGTCGACATGCCTTCATGGTAGGCCATGCAATTTTAGAACCGCCCGATGTGGGTTGTGCACAGCAGCACCTCCCAAAAAATGCCTAGACTTTCCTGGAACCTGGTTCTTTGTGTCAAAACCAAAGGGCCCCCTGGCGCACTCTTAGATCTTCTTGGGACTTTCTTGGAAAAGATTCTGCGGGGCCAGGGCTTAACCCTTCCAGAGATCTCGCCGAGCCAGATTCCCTCAACGATCCAAAGGCGCGGTTCATCAGTGCCATCCACTCCGCGCCCCCAGGTGCCATGGGCAACCTGGGCACAAACCTGGGATCTATCCGAGCATCGGTCACTGCAAACTTGCTGCTGCGTATCTCGGAATGAGCCGATGGTTGCCTTTTGTTGTTTGTTTGTTATTCTTATTATTTTGTTGCGGTGTTTTCTCATCTTTCCCGAGGAAACCAAAAACGGATGGATGGTGTTTGTCTCAAGGCCATTCCATATCTCATGGGCAAGCTCTTGAGATGATGCTTGCATCCCTTGCCCAGTGCCTCCACTTACCATGATAAGTAACCGAGGGAAACGATGTAAAACCTACTAGGTAAGAAACTTTGGTTGACTATAGTGGTACTGTGGATGGACGGAATCCTGCACCAAGTTGAAACCGCGGGAACCATTGTTAGTTGGCGTTTGCAGGGAAATCATCATTCCAGGGTTAGGTGGTGCAGAATTTCATCCAGCCTCAGTATGGACACTGCTGGGCTAAGTCCTCCAGACAAAGAGTGCACCATGCCTCACGGCTCGGCCGGCTTTGGCGTTGGCCTGGCGGGCCGTCGAAGCCTCCCCAAGGTCCTGAGAACCGGTTTTGTTGCGGCCCTAAGGCTCTCAAGGATTTTTGGGCCCAAGATGGGTTGAGTTCAAGCGCTTTTGAGGGGTCATGAGCCTTGCGGGGGTTGCAGTGGGAAAAAAAGGACAAGGGGCCCCCGGGAATCCCTCAGAGGCCGTCACGTAGTACAACATTTGAGAGCTTGTGGGGTCCTGGGGATCTCGTTTTCTGTTCGACCCTCAACCTAGTGCAAGCTTAAAGCCAAGAGGTATAGTAAACAAAGTGAAGGAAAAGGGGCTTCACATGACTCCGGCTCAACTATTGGCTTTGGACAACCTTAAAAAAGTCTCAACACTTCTGTCACTCACGGGCCCGGACGAGCCTGTTCGAAGAAACGCGTTCAGCCGCCGCTTCTTAAAGCTCACACTTTTTGTCTTGGATTCCGTGGATGCAAAACAACGCTTGAACAACAAACCAAACATAGCAGCTCGGCTTTGAAAAGGTCCCTTCCGAGGGCCTTGCGGCTGGGCCTTGCGGCTGGGTCACAAAGCTAATCCTCTAGCTGCAAGTGGTTCTCCGCGAAAGCGGGATCTCCGGCACAAACAAAAACCAGGAGCATCCAATCTTGACATAAGGCTACCCTCAGGCTCCCGATGATTTTGGCCCGGATTTTGTTCTAAAGAAGCTTGTGGCGCACAAACAACCAGAGTCCAAACACCTAGCATTCAGCCGGTTGTTGGAATTCTGTCGGCCCTTTCACAAACCATGTTCGCTCCAGGAAACTAGGATTCACGGACCCCTCTGGCGAACTCGCCTCGGCCATGGCTTGAGTCGCCGCAAGCCCAAGTTCAACTTCACGCTCTCGCGGCACTCTCGAGCGATGCGCTCCGCGTCGTCCTGGCGCACCGAGCGCGGACTGCGCACATCTGGGGCTGTAAGCGGGTGGTGGCAGCGGCCGCAAACGGGTGTCACGGGTGGTTGGCTTCTTGTGTTCACAAGCCAATCCTAGTAAGCGAGCAGAACCTCAGTGCCGTACCCAGTTGCAACTTCGAACGCATGCTGTCACGCCCGCCTTTTCACCTGCGTGCTCACAAGCCCCAAGCAAACCACAGTTGAAAGCTGCTTTGGGGTTCTAAGTTTGGCGGTACTGCCGGTCAAGGAAACCTGACCATGCTGAAGCAGGGGCTGGCATCGCAG